ACAAGGTGCAAATAGTTCAAGTTTTTAGCTTTAAAATGGCTACTTGCACATCTCCATACGATTTTTCTACAATTTATGGTGATTTTTACAAAACTGCCTATCATTTCAAACAACAATCCGGACCAGTCTGTGATTTTGGACTTTTTCACCCAAGTTAGAGGTCATATTAATTTGTGATAAAAATTATGAACAAACTAGACACATTTTGTGAACTCTCAGAGTTTACGGATCTAGATTTCGACTTCGTATGATTTTTCTATGATTTTTCCAAAACAGGGCAGAATCGCTAAATTTTGCCAACAGCATGTAAATATCATAACACTTTGTATTATGTTGAGCAAAGTGTATAATCATAAGTTTTAGTATTTGTATGTGTTTCCTTGTTAGTTTACCATTATGAACTGAAACTATGAAATTCATACTAAATATTAAATATTACTCATTCATTTTGGAACACGTATCATTAGACTATAAAAAGTATAGTTTGATAAATTCACAATACTAATACATTTCCATAAGAGGATTCATACATATTACATACATTTTAGATAAACTATAATAGGTATAGTTTATGATACATCACTCAACGCACTCGTACCAAAAAGGGTACATCCATACAAGAAAGATTTATATTCACACACATTTCACGTAAACCTGTTAACCTATGTTGTGAGACTCTCTCTCTCTCCCCGTACGTCCGAGTGCGGGATATAATTCCTGGTAGTTATAATCAGAATCTCCTTGAGGGAGAACGTGATACTTGTATATAGATCTATATTGGGTTTGACACCCCACACCTTGCTGCTAGCTACAGTGGGACCTGCAGGTCTACGGGTGACAAATGTCATTTCATTTTCGCGACGCCTGAGAAACGTTGTGGCAGGTTCACATAGTCACAGTATGATTATAGCGACTCACTTAGGGGGATAACAATTCATGAAGTTTACGGGGTTTCATAAAACCGAAGTAGGTTTTAGGTTGATAAAAGAAATTTTACTTTCCATAACATTTTAAACTCACAACATTGTTACTAAGAAACGATGATTTCTCATACACTCTAGTCTTTGGTTATAAGGCTACATTTCTCGGATTTCAAGGGAAATACCGGATTTTTCTGAAACAAACGCGACATTTACATGTGAAATACTCCTACTAAGTTTATTAATAAAAGCTTATGAACTCACCAACCTTTGTGTTGACACTTTTCAAACAACTTGTATTCACAGGAAAACACTAATCAGGTTATCAAGTGCTTTTGAGGATGGGACGTTAAGGCGTCAAACTTTTCACATTTTGACAACATATTGTAATTGATTTTGAAACATGCAATTCATACAAGTGATGTAACTTTTTCAATTATATATATGTTGGTTGTGTTTGCTTAAATTACTATTAAAATTGTGGTTATGATGCTATACATGAAGTCCTCCACCCCCGGACGTTTCCGCCATCCTTGGTTTGGGGGTGTGACACCATCTCTATTTTCTTTCTTCAATTATCGTTTATTACATCACCCAAGTAAACATTACTAAACCCTAAACCTAAACCCTAAACCCTAAATTTAAACCCTAAACCCTAAACGTAAACCGCAAACCTAAAATCTAAACCCTAAACCCTAAACCCTAACGCTAAACCCTAAACCCTAAACCCTAAACCTTACTGTGTCGATCTTGAATTTACATCTTGAAATATTAATCGTGAATCCATTAACCGTAATCTTTATATAGTAAAACAATTTATTTTCAAGAGGTTTAGTACGTAAGCTTAGGTGGGGCTGTAACGTATATTCCCTTTTCCCTATATATATATATATATATATATATATATATATATATATATATATATATATATATATATATATATATATATATATATATATATATATATATATATATATATATATATATATATATATATAGGGATAATGACTTGAAAGGGTAACGAACTTTCAACTTTTTTCACATTTAGTCACTAAACTTTTTTTCGTTATCTATTTGCCACTAAACTATTGAAATTCGAAAATCGAAAGTTTCAATAGTTTAGTGGCAAATAGATAACAAAAAAAAAGTTTAGTGACTAAATATGAAGAAAATCGAAAGTTCGTTTCCCTCTAAAAAGTTCAACGACTAAATATTAACAAACTTCCTCTTGTATTATGTTTTACCAAATTATTTATTTTTGTTAAATTGTAGCAACATTTGTTAATGAAGAAATCTATGAAATAAAAAAAAACCTTGAAAATATATTTAAAAAAACAAAAAACAAAAAACCAAAACCGAAATAAAAAACCAATGGTTTGAAATTTTCCAAAATAAAAAATCAAAATTTTCAATCTGATTTTGGTTTTACAAAAAAAAAAAAAAGAACCATTCTCATTTATGTGAATTATGACCATTGGTTTGGCATGTGGAATTTGTGACATCCCATGAATACGTAGTTACAACATCGTCTGAACTCGTAATTCATAGTAAGGGGTTAGAGTATCATCGCATGAATACGTAGTTACAACATCGTCTGAACTCGTAATTCATTACCTACAGGTTATGGGCCTGCTGGTGTTTCCACTAGGTTGTCTAGAATAGTCCGTGGTCGCCATCTATACTCTGGTAGATGACTACATCGCCACATTGCCGGTTAAGGTTATGGTATCTCCTTTCATCCTACATCACCTATTCATCATCATCTATTTACCTAATTATCACCACCTTTCTATCATCACCTATCTCTCATCATTTTATTTCATCACATACCAACTATTTCATCTACCCATGTTTCATCTGCAACATATTTGTAGATATAAAATAAATATACCGTTTAAATCTTTTAAAACATGTATAAAATCGTTCATCCAGCATAGACAACAAGTATTCAAATAATATGCACACATAGCACGTAAGTTATATAAAATACTTCATCTCTATGTGTAAGATAAAAGTATCTATACCATAAAAATCCCATAAATGCTTCCTAACTTCAAACCCCAAGGTTTACTCTGCTAAAGCTTCATATTCTCGGCTCTCTGGACCTAGAAGGGTCTAAATTCCTAACTTCAAACCCCAAGGTTTACTCTACTAAAGCTTCATATTCTCGTATCTCTGGACCTAGAAGGGTCCAGATCTATAACACAAACTTGCAAGACAGGTTTGAGGCATTCAAAACCCCAAAGATGAAGTGATTCAAGCCCTAACCCCAAAATGGAATCTACACAACAGGGAAGGAAAGGGGTTCATTTTTGTACCTCAGAATGAAGCTCCTTGCTTGAATAACTTAGAACAATAACCTTCCTTGGTCCCTCTTGCTGGAACTCTTCTCCTTTCTTGCAAAATCACACCAAAAAGCTCAAGATAGCTCTTCCTCTCACTCTACACACTCAAGCTCGCTAGGGTTCTCACTTATGGGAAAGGTAGTTGTAATTGAAGGCCATAAGTGCCTTTAAATATGGCTCGGGCTCAAAGATTTAGGGATTTTGCCAACAGCGCGGACTCGTCGAGTCGCCTCACCGAATCGTCGAGTCCATTCATTAATCCGAGTCATCAGTCGCGACCTTACTCGACGAGTTGAGGCGTCAACTCATCGAGTCTCTCTTCTTAACTCAAAAGAAAAATACTTAAATTATGATACCTGGAAATCTGAATGTTACATTTTGTTTTTTTATTTCATAGATTTCTTCATCAACAAATATTGCTACAATTAAACAAAAATAAATAATTTGCTAAAACATAATACAATAGGAAGTTTGTTCACATTTAACCATTGAACTTTTTAGAGGGAAACGAACTTTCAATTTTGTTCACATTTAGTCACTAAACTTTTTTTCGTTATCTCTTTGCCACTAAACTATTGAAACTGTTCACATTTTACCCTTATGACCGGTAACGGCCGGTCATAAGGGTAAAATGTAAATAGTTTCAATAGTTCAATGACAAATAGATAACGAAAAAAAGTTTAGGGACTAAATGTGAAAAAAATCGAAAGTTCGTTACCCTTTCAAGTCATTATCCCACATATATATATATATATATATATATATATATATATATATATATATATATATATATATATATATATATATATATATATATATATATATATATATATATATATATATATATATATATATATCAAACCCAAATCGTTTACCCATACGACAAGGAATACATCGACAACATTCCCTATTATATCATTTACCTTCTAAAGATCATTGACTTCCAGTGCTTTAGGAAAAGTTGGTAACATAATAAATAGAAGAGTAAATTACACAAATGGTCCCTAAGGTTTGTGTTAAATTGCATGGTTGGTCTCAATTTTTTTTTCTAACTCGGACGGTCCTTATAAATATTTTTTGTTTTGGTTTTAGTCCTTTATTGAGATAAAATAACTATTTTACCTTTAATGATATATTTTAAATTTATTTAATATTTTTATTATTATTTATATTATTGTTATTTAGAGTTAAATTAATAAAGGTCTAAAAAAAACCCGATAAAAACAATATAGTCATTTCAGGTGAAGAAAAAACCAAATTCCAAACAAAACAAAACTATAAGGATAATCCAAATTAAAAAAAAAAAGTTAAAAACCAGACACGTAAATTACCCCAAATCAAACCGTAAGAACTATTTATATAATTTACAATGAACCATATAATTTATTATATCATCCTTTTTGACCCATGTATATTATATCATCCTTGTTGACCCATGTAACTAATGTTTGTGTTTGACCTGACCTAAGTTGATGAGCCGTCCTCTATCCACCTCGATTCCATGAATATTCATGAACAATACCAATCAATTCAACATCAAAATTGATCACAACCAAAAATATTTTGAGTATTATATTAGGACTTAACCAAATATGAAGTGAAAACATATAGATTTAAAAAAAAAAAAAAACATGGTGTAAAATAATTATGCAATTTGTTTGGAATTTCAAAAGTCTTTAGTTCATTTTATATTTATATTAGCCGACAAGTCTTACCATTTTCCCACATCATCAAACAATCACTCATCTTTACACACACACCACTCTCTAAACCCATACGCAAATTCACAAACTAAATATATATTTTTTTTCAACAAATACAATCTACCGCCCGCTCGCTGCCCAACATTGAAGGAAAGTGCAAGGAAGTTACTTAGAAAAATTCCTGCTTGATTTTAGTATTATACCCACGGAGCAAACTCCTACTCCTTTTATCGCTATCTTCATTGCCAACCTCTTTCTCCTATCGTAGAACTTCAATTGATACCAAATTTCTGTATTTCTATAACCGTAGCAGACGCAAACTATAGTTCCATATTCGGTGCTTCGTGTTTGTCTGTGATTTCCTCATTTGATCTTTGCAAAACGCGAAACACTGATGGTTTCAAATCACCGTGATCAAACATGTGGGTTTGGGTCGTTTTAGGATAAATCGACGAATCCCGTCAGTGGTTTAGTGGTCTATTGTATCCGAACTTCAAAGTGTTCTTATCGGCGAGAACCCACTAGTCATCATGGTCTTCTACTATTGTTCTGCACAGCTGGTAATGTCTCGCTTATGTTCTCATCGTATTCTTGATGTTTTGATTAGATATTAATGCTATACTGTGTTACTTGTCGATCGTTTTTTCCCAGAAGAGGAATAGTGTTCCGTATTGTTTAGATCATGTGTATTGCGGTTTTTCGTTAGGTCTTGGTCACTGTACTTTGTAGAGATCTTGTTGAATCCTTTTGGAAAGGAAATAATTGGGAATTGCTGTATAAGTTCCTTGAAAGGAGAAATAATAATATCTGTGATGATCAAACCTTCGAAAAAAGTTAGATTTTGATTCAAAAATGTAGTCCATATTCCTTCAGGTTAGATTTGCTAGATGATTGCTTTTACCTTAAATAGTAGGTGTAATAGGCCTTTTTCTAGTAGTAGAACGCAGCAGAAAGTAGCTCTGTTTCCTCATTTTGTTAATGTAATTTGTTTCATATTGGAGTAAGAAAATCCGTTTTTCTCAACTTTTTATCTCCTGTTTCCATCAGGGGAAGATCATCTTTATGTCTAATTTTATGTAACATGAATGTTCTTATGATCCATTGTTATTGTTTTTCAGGAAACCAACCTTTTCCCAACAACTGGAGGAAAACCAGATGGTAATTTTTATTCATAGGAATTGTTCCAATCGAATTTAATACATATTACTTACACCCTTTAAACGAATTTTAAGCAGACACTTTAGAAATCCAGAAAGGCATTATACTTTCATTTCTAATGAGACTATAGGGGTATAAAAGTCTTTTTTTCGTTAAGTTACTTGCCTTTTGACTCTGCTGACATTTTGCTTATGAACACCAACAGCACCTCCATCTCCAACTCCTACAGGTGGTTATGATGTTAGCCCAGAACAACTTGCTTCAATCACAAGAGAGCGTGACTTGATTGCTTTCCAAAAATCTGGAGGAGTAAGTTTATGATTCATTAACAACTCTCTCTCTCTCTCTCTCTCTCACACACACACACACATCATCCTATAAATAAGATTATGATTTTCTTTTCCATCCATGAACATGACAGGTTGAAAGCTTGGCAGAAAAGTTGAAGACGAACCCTGATAAGGGAATCCATGAAGATGAGTCAAACATATTAGAGAGAAAGAATGTGTTTGGGTCAAACACATACCCAAGAAGAAAGGGAAACAGCTTTTGGGTAATGTATCTGTATATTTTTCTCTCTAAAGCTAAATGAATCGATAATATTCATTATCTGAATATGATTTAATCTAAATTAAAATCGTTGTGTAATATGCATTCGATAGAGGTTTCTGTATGATGGTTGTGGAGACACCACATTGATCATCTTGATGGTAGCTGCTGCTGCTCTTTTGGCACTGGGTATAATAACAGAGGTTAGTGAACATCTTTAAGTCTAATATTTATATGTTTTGTTATTTAATTGGTTTCTTTTATGGAAAGATGACATCTTTATGTTTTTATCACTTGTGTTATCTACTCCAGGGGATCAAAGGATGGTATGCTGGGGGAAGCATAGCTTTGGGTGTTATATTTGTCATGGTTTTTAAAGGTACTTTATTTCTGTTTTCTGACTTGTAAACCAATTATGAATAAGATGAATAAAAAGATTCTCTCACATAGTTTGCTCTCTTTTGACATGCCATTGTTATTTTGTGTTCTCTAGCCATGCATGAGTATAAAAGTTCACTTAAATTTCAAAACTTGAATGAGGAGAAGCAGAAAATTCAGTGTCAGGTGAGTTTTTAACCAATGTATTGATCTTTTCATACAATCATATTTTTCTTTGTTGACAAATAAAGATATGATATCTCAAGGTTGTAAGAGGTGGAAGGAGGATGATCATTTCAATATTTGATATTGTTGTGGGTGATGTCATATCTCTTATGATAGGCGACCAGGTAATATGTTTCTCATATCTTGTGATTTTCCGTTTTTGCCCTTGTTTACACTTCATTTGTAAACCAGGTTCCAGCTGATGGGGTTTTCATTTCTGGTCACTCTCTTTCTATTTATGAATCAAGTATGACTGGCGAGAGTAAAATTGTAAGTTTTTATAAAATTCTGTTAATTACATTATGTTTTATTTCGATTCTCTAGTTTTGAAGGGTAGATAATGTAACCTTTTTTTTTTTTTTTTTTAAATGATGGAACAGGTTAATAAAGATCATGAATCACCATTTTTAATGGCTGGGTGCAAGGTGGCTGATGGATGGGGTACTATGATGGTAAGACTTAATCATTCTAATCCCATGCAAAAAAAATAAAAAGTCTTTTTGACCTCTTTTTCCAAAAGACAAAAAAAAAAGCTTCTGATTTTGGAAGATGTTTTCTAAGTTCTAACCCATTGCTGACAAATTTCACGTATATAAACCACATTTAGGTCACTAGTGTTGGAATGAATACAGAATGGGGATTGCTTATGGCTAACATCTCAAATAATGATAATGATGAGGAAACACCATTACAGGTTACTTCTCTAAACATGCTCTAACCTTTTATAATTAAAAAAATCACACAACAAGGCTTAAATCTGTCATCAGGTTTTAATTCCTACATGTATTGACTATGAGTTTTGTTAGGTGCGTTTGAGTGGAGTGGCAATGTTTATTGGTAAGATTGGGCTTTTGGTAGCTGCATCCGTTCTTGTCATCCTTCTCATCAGGTAATTCAAAGCTGCATGGGTATAATCGTCTTTTCACCCCTCTTTCTTTCTTTCTTTCTTTCTTTCTTTTAAGATGGTAATTTTAACTAATTTCTGCTTGTTAGGTTTTTCACTGGATACACGGAGGACGATGAGGGAAAAGTAGAGTTTATTGCTGGTAAAACTAGTGTCAAGGATGCTATGGATGGAGTAATTAAAATTTTCACTGTTGCAGTATGTATCTTCTGCATATAATTTAGTTTCATTTTCAAGCTTCTAATTCTTGAGGTGTCTATAGGTAGCTATTGTTTATGTTGCAGTGCCAGAAGGGCTTCCATTAGTTGTCACTTCAACGTAAGTTGTCCATTTTCTATAAACCATTTCTTTAATCTGAGTTTTTTTGGATGACTAACATGTTAATTATAATTACAGGCTTGCATACTCGATGCGAAAAATGATGTCTGACAAAGCATTGGTATATTCATATTTTGTCCTCATTGATTTCTATAGTTGTATGTATTTTGTTTTATGTTTTTGGTGATTTTGTAAGTGCAGATTAGGAGGCTATCTGCCTGTGAAATGATGGGTTCAGCAACTACAATTTGCAGTGACAAAACTGGAACCTTGACTTTGAATTTGGTGGGATATTTTTCTTTTCTTGGTAACTTCATGATTCTTGCATATTTTATTATTTTATTGTAGTATTAAGTTAAGTGCCAATGGTCTAACATGGTACTAAAATCTTCTGTTCATTTGTTTCTTTTCTCTTGTTATTTTGACATCTAAGAAGTAAAAACCCTTCATTCTTTTGATCTTTTCCCATATTTGTCTCATGTTTTTGCTTTATTCAGATGACTGTGTTCGAGGCTCATATTTGTGGGAAGAAAATCGATCCACCAAATGACACATCAGCATTACCTCCAAAGATTGTATCTCTTCTTGTTGAAAGTGTAGCTCACAATACAACTGGCAGTGTATTTTTACCTGAGGTATAGTAAATCTTTTTTTTTTTTTTTTTTTTTTAATAATAGTATTTAATATTAAAGGATACTTATTATTGTTGGTATTTAATAGGGAGGCCAAGAAGTTGAGGTTTCTGGATCACCAACAGAGAAGGCCATACTTGAATGGGGGGTTAAGGTTAGTTCTTGTCACATATGTTGGGATAGAATCTTGATTTTAGGAGATACTCATAATTTTTGTAATAATAAGTGCAGCTTGGAATGAATTTTGATGTGGTGAGGTCAGAGTCTTCAGTTATTCATGCATTCCCATTCAACTCAGAGAAAAAACAAAGTGGTGTTGCAGTCAATCGGGTAATTGTATAACCTTTTTTAAATATTTCATAACCATATTCAAAAAAAAAAAATCAAGATGCTAATGGAGCAGAGATCCAGAATTATGATACCTATAAGTCCAAGTGTAGAAGTCACTCCCAAAAGCCAAGCTTGTTGGAGGAGGGGCACCTAAACTTATAAGACACCAATCAAATTTTCATTGAAATTGTGGAAATAACGAGGTATTAAAGCTTCTTAGTTATACCATGAAACAATCATTGGAATTTGGAAAATCAATTAGGTTTCACTTTCATGCAATTTCAATGGAGAGCAAAATAATAGTGTAGATGTAATGGTGTGCATAGTTTACACCCAAATTAGATTTTTTTTTTTTAAGTACTTGGGGTCCATGATTCATAAGAAAGGCTTTGTTGTTGTATTTAAAAAGATTTCATATGATTCACATCAAACACATATTCTTTTTCTTCTTTAATTTCTCCACAGCCTGATTCTGAGGTTCATGTTCACTGGAAAGGGGCTGCTGAAATCGTCTTGGCTGCATGCTCAAGATACATGGACATTGATGAACATCTTGTTCCCATGGATTCTGGAAAGGTATGAAGGATCAGTCTCTTCCATCATAACCCATTTTTCCAGTTTTCTAGAAAGAATTCCATGGAAACTTTAGAAAATCATGATCCCAAGTCGATTTTTTCATTCATATCCATGCAGTTGGAATATTTTAAAAAGGCGATTGAAGATATGGCTGCTGAAGGTTTGCGGTGTCTTGCTTTTGCCTACAAACCATGCGCACAAGAAACCGTGCCAACAGATGAGGATGACCTGGCAACTTGGGCACTACCTGATGATGATCTTGTTTTGCTAGCAATAGTTGGTTTAAAGGTGTGTGAATGTCCATGTCATGTCATCAAAGAGATTTATATTATTTTGATGGTTTTGGTTTTGCAATATAGGATCCATGTCGGCCAGGTGTCAAAGATGCTGTCCAACTGTGCATACAGGCTGGCGTGAAGGTACGAATGGTGACAGGTGATAATCTTCGAACAGCAAGAGCGATTGCATTAGAATGTGGAATTTTGGGGTCAATTGCTGATGCGGAAGAGCCGAATCTGATTGAAGGGAAATCTTTCCGTGCCATGTCAGAAGACCGAAGACTAGAAGTTGCTGAGAAGATTTCCGTATGTGAATTTACTATTTTGACCCTAGTGGAGGAGTAGTTGTAAATAAGTTTTTATAAAATGTTTGTGAAACAGGTGATGGGGAGGTCTTCACCTAATGATAAACTGTTACTTGTTCAAGCGTTGAGGAAGAGAGGACATGTTGTTGCTGTTACTGGAGATGGAACAAACGATGCCCCTGCTCTACATGAGGTAATAATTAAATATATATATATTTTTATCATCCGTTTAACTATTTCTACTGTATTTTATGTTTATATATATTTTTATGAAATTGAAATTGTAGGCTGATATTGGTCTTGCTATGGGCATCCAAGGAACTGAAGTTGCTAAAGAAAGTAGTGACATCATTATCTTGGATGACAATTTCGCTTCCATTGTAAAGGTCTGATATCTTCTGTTTTTGGTCTTTATGTTGGTATAGAAAACGCTTCAAAAGTATTGGATCTTTTTTTTTTTTTTTTTAGATTAATGTGTTTCTTGTGCATGCCCACATAAATTATAACAGGTTGTTAGGTGGGGAAGATCTGTTTATGCAAACATACAGAAATTTATTCAGTTCCAGCTCACTGTAAATGTGGTTGCCCTTGTGATTAATGTTGTGGCAGCTGTTTCTTCAGGGGATGTTCCACTTAATGCAGTCCAGGTCTCTTTTTCTCTCAATCTTGTCAAACCATCAAAGATCAATATTAGTCTGATTGATAATTGCAACTTACTTTGTATTAATTTTAATTTATATAGCTCCTTTGGGTGAATCTTATCATGGACACTCTTGGTGCACTTGCCTTAGCCACCGAACCACCAACAGACCACCTCATGAACCGAATCCCCTTGGGCCGCAGGTTTGACCAATTCCATGTTGACTTTCGTCATAATAATATTTATTCTTGTAACTTAAACTCTTTTTTTTGGGGGGGTTCAGGGAGCCTCTTATAACAAATATCATGTGGAGGAATTTATTTATTCAGGTATTATATTATATTTATATAAGTTGTCTTTGTGCAAAAGTTTATGAGAGATTAAGTGTATTAATTATATAAAATTACAGGCTGCTTATCAAGTGTTGGTGCTACTTGTACTCAATTTCCGTGGTATACAAATCCTACGTTTGCATCACAATTCTCAACAGCATGCTAAGAAACTGAAAAACACTCTCGTTTTCAATGCTTTCATTTTTGCTCAGGTCAAGTATATATATATATATATATATTTTTCTCTCCACTTATGATTCCTTACCCATGCAAAATAGCAACACACTTACAATTCCTTTATCCATAATTTCAGATTTTTAATGAATTTAATGCTCGGAAGCCTGATGAAATTAATATTTTCAAAGGCATTACCAAAAACCGCTTGTTTATGGGCATTGTGAGCCTTACTATTGCTCTTCAAGTAAGATTTCTTCATCCTCTTTTCCCCTTTATTCAATTCTCACACAAAAATGTATCAAAATCATAATCTAATGTCTACTCTTCTCTTCTTATTCCAGGTCACTATCATCATGTTCCTTGGGAAATTTACCGCAACAGTAAGGCTGAGCTGGCAATTGTGGTTGGTCTCAATTGCAATCGGCTTTATCAGGTGTGTACTATTTTTAGAAATTTCTCATCAACCCCCTCTAGTTAACTTTTTTTTTTTTTTTTTTTATGTTTTCACCCTTATTATCCTTGTTTTTCACTAGTTGGCCCATTGCTGTTATTGGGAAATTCGTAACCCCTTCAGTGAATATTTTATCGATATATTCCCATCATGTAACCCCTTCAGTGAATATTTTATCGATATATTCCCATCATGTACATCGCAACGTAGAAAAAAAGGTGCATATATGGGACACAAAAGTTCTTTCGTGTATTATACAAAAAGATATATTTATATAATTGTAATTTATAACTCATGTTACTTATTTCCCAGGTGGAAATGAGGATGATGAGTGAATGCTAGCGGCTCTTAGAAAAGGATGCTAATTTTTTTTTTATACCGAGGGGGAGGCTACAACTGTATTCAATGACCTGTAGTCTGTATTTAGAATTTGAAGCTCTGTAGAGGTTAATTTTCTTTTTCTTTTTCTTTTTTCCTTTTTTTTTCCCGGTTCATGTTCGGTGTTTGATGTTATTGCCACTTTGTAATTGGATGCACTTTTGTACATATTGGGATGATGATTCTTGTATATATAAAATTTTCCACTCGTTCATTTATTCATATTGCACTAAAAGACTAGGCTTTTGAACTACTTAATTCGATCCACAATGTCGATATATCACAATTAATATACAAACTACATGCCATAACAGAATGTGAATCAAATTGATAAGATTAACGATTTTTTTAAAAAAAAATGCATAATATCAGTTGATGAGATCTTGGTGTAAGAGACAGTGAAAATGATGCATAGCCTTCTCTACCATAGGTGCGTATCTACCACTACCATAAGCTGGTGATTCCAACCCTCTTTGTACTGATTCACAGAGCGTCACATCTTCCATCTACAATCATATAAAAAAAAAAATAAAAAATCCAGTCATCAGATACCTGAATGATGACCAAAAGGTACATACAACATCTACGTACCTGAACTTGTTCACTATCTTTTAAACTCTCTGTTACAAAAGCTTCATCATCCTACACAATAGAAGCTATTATATACCCCATCTATGTGAGATCTTCCACAGTTTGATTTCAAATTTACCTTAAGAGATGCATCAAGAAAATAATCAAAAATCACTTTGCATCGCGTGGGTCCCAATGGAAGAACCAGATTTGTGTCCATCCAAGGCCCATACCTGAACACAAAAAGAGGTTAAAAAAAGAGCATCCAAGATTAAAAAAAAAAAAAAGAAACAAGATAAACTTGCCTATTCACCATGAAGTTTGGATAAATGAAAGCATATAGAGATTTTGATCCGAGTCTATCAAACTCTTCCTCACCCTTCACTTCATCTCCATCACATCTCTGGATGCTTACTTTCTCATATACCTACGATTCACAAGATTTAGAGATACATATTTAACTAATAGTCAAACATTTTTAATTAAAATGTAAAATGTGTGTCAAGTGAAACATAACATACTGTGGTGGAATAGGAATCTAGCTTAAGACCTGATGCAAGATCTTTATGTGCAAAAGGTACATGATACCCTCCATCCAAGTAATTGTCACAAAAAACCTGCAACAACACCACTTCATGAGGTTGAATTGAAGATAGAATTAAAAAATTAGAAAGATTTGAAAAAAAAAAAAACAAACCTTCCAATTACATTCGATGGTGTATTCACGTCTACAAAGATAACTTAGTGAAGTATCAACACCATTTGTACTTAGTATCTCAGAAGTGCTACCAAGCCACTCCATTCCCACATCATCATGTTCATCAAACTTATCTTTTTCCAAATCAAGAAGGATAAATGGCCCCCAAATTGCTACCCTCAATGGAACAAGTCCAAATTCCTAAACAATAGATAAACAATACCCAATAAGTGAATAAAAGATAATAGAGCATCACTTATCGCAGAAAAAGGAGAATTCAGTTCATATACTTTGACATTGAAGTTTTTTATCCCTGTTATTCTGCTTGCTTTCAGAAGTGCTCCATTCAATCCATATGTCCATCCCTACAAAGATCAACTGTGTGAATCGAATTCTTCTTCTTATTGAAACGAATAAAGAAAGACACACATGAAGGTAGAAGTAGAAGTCAACTCACATGGTAAGGGCATACAAAGCAAGATCCTTTTCCACTTCCAGAGGCGAGAAGAGAGGCATGGTGGCGACACACGTTATGAAATGCACGTAATTTGCCATTTTCATCACGACATACCACATATTCTATGTTTCCTATTCTGTCAATTAATTAAAGATTAAGCAATTAACAAGAACGCAATATGATCAAAAGATGCAGTGAAGTTTACCTTCCGGTAAAGAAACTGTTAGCCTCCTGAATTTGCTCGGTGCATCCTAATCATCAATCAAACACGTAAATGATTATGGATTTGTTGCAGAGGGATTATATGATCGTTGACTTTTCACTGAAGCAAACGATTTTATAATGCATATTCACCATTGGCATGTGGAAAACCAGCCAATTTGACCTTAGAATTAAATAAGAAGAGGATACATAGGCACATAACTTCATAGAAAAATAACCGATACAGAAATAAGAGTTAAAGTAGATTACCAACGGCCTGCCATCCTCTGAAGAAGACTTGATTGAGTTCCAGAGAGTGAAAAGAAGGGGAGGTGTACCATGAGCTTGGTGGGGTTAGGGCTTCTTCGATTGGGATATGGGGGTTGAATTCATGGATCAGTGACCGAGCAAACTCTTGAGATGGTTCGAGTAAACTGTGATTGGTTTCAAGCGACTTTCTGATCAGTAACGAATTGGGTGATCGGGCGTGCTGTGGGCATGAATTTGGATATGGATTTCTGAGTTTCTTCAAGTTAGAAAAGTGAAGATTAATGGGTTTCATCATCATCGCCATGATCGGAATTTACAATGCTTTAGCTCTCCATCCTAGGTGCTAAGTAGTTGTATTTAGATGTTTTATGATAATTGTTAATTGTTAATTTTTGTTTTTATAGATTAACGTGATAAAATCACTTCGTGATTTAAACCTTCAACCATTTCGTCCAAAGAAATCCTATCAACAATTTCATGAACCTAATGGCACATATATCATCCTCTTGATGGCGTATGGAATGGTCTTAAAACGTTAATACATATGAAACTTAATAGTGCATTAACTCTTACCACATTTTCGATAAAATATTCCATCTGTTAGTTTATAGTTATATTTTCTTACTCTTAGATAGTGTTTAGTATAGGGGCCTTTATGTAACATTGTTATATATATATATATATATATATATATATATATATATATATATATATATATATATATATATATATATATATATATATATATATATATATATATATGCAATACAATACCCTGATCAAGAGGACTTTTACACATTTAACATGATATAAAGCTAGGTTTTCCTCCCTAAGGCGCACATACCGCCGACTCACCTCTCCCACACAAACAAGACTTTTTTTCCTCATTATCGATCGATCCCACATCAAGAGTTCTTGTTTTGATGGTTTCCCTCCTTGGTGCACCTGACGTCTGCCTTCTGCTCCACCAGATCTCTTGTGCCTAGGTTAAGATCCTCTGTTGCCTACTGCGTTACCCATAACAACAGTCTACATCACCAAGCGTTGCATCTTGTTGTGTCTCCATACTCCATCGGTCCTGCTAAGTGATAATGTCGATACATGCTTCATCCTCTTCTACTGTTCCATCCACAATGAGTTTTGTATGTTCCCTCACCAATGTCTATAACCAATTCAACTTCAAACTCAATGTCGATGGCTCTAAATACAAGCTATGACGACTAATCTTCTCCAACATGTGTCGAGGTACCATGTGTTATGGTCACATCTCAAGAAAATCCAACCCAACTAGTGATGATGATGAAGAGTGGCACTCAGTTGATGCTCACATCATATCATGGTTCTATAGCACATGTGATCCCGAACTGCTTCAAATCATCTCCAGTGACGACTGGACTACCAATGACCTTTAGAACAAGCTTCAAGAATTCTTCTAGAACAACAAGATGTCACACATGTTGCAACTTCAAGATCAATTCCGCAATACTAAGAAAGGTTCAAGCTCTATCATTGAATTTTGTCACACTTTTAAAAATATTGCAAGTGACATTAAAGATGTGGAATCAACCGTTACAGAAATTGAATTGGTAATGCAAATACTAAGATAACTGCCCCTGTCCTATCATAGAATTGTTGATGTGATCACAAACACCAAGCCTTTTTTGTCGTTCTTGGAAGCCAAAAACATGCTTTTGTTGCATGAATCTCGTGAAGCTGACTCAGATTCCTTTATTGACTCCATGGTGTCACAAAGTTTATTCTTCTCATCAAATAACACTAACAAGTCCAAAAATCGATGGTCCAAGAATCACAATGGGCAAAGGAATTCTTCTAAAAATTCCAACTTTGGTGGGCAACTGGATCCACAATTTTGTTGGGATCATCGGGCATGTCCCTGCGTCGGCCTTGCATACCAGACTCCTCAGCCCATCTGGTTCCCTTTCTTCGTATTTGCATCAGGTATATGTTGATTGACAACAGCCTCCTCATGCACAGGCTTACCTGCCACATCAGTCGTTCCCAGCTCCCTGCGTAACCTACAATCCTCAGCAGTTACTTGACAATTTCACTTCATATCCCTCCATGCTGACTACCTCTGTGCACTTGCAACTTGCTGGCTCACACTTCTACTTTCTAGCAGCAACAACGAAAACCACCTTCGATGTTCCCCCCAACAACCTCCATCATCGGTGTCATCATTTGTGGGTTATATGCAATCAACACCACACCAGTTTACAGACTTGGCTTCAGTGTTTCAAGTAATGTTGATCCAACCACTATTCGAAACAACTACTGTATGGACTCTAAGGCTAGCTCGCATATGTCTTTCAGTTCAAGTAGCATGCTCTTCTTTACTCATTGTAATTCTAAATCTATCATGGTTGGTAAGGGTGATATACTCCCCGTCACTCACACAACCGTCTTGCTTTAAATAATGTACTCGTCTCAAATAAAATGGTTAAGAACCTAGTGTATGTGAGAAAGTTCACTATTGACAACTCTGTATCTGTTACATCTGTGAAGTACTTTAAAACAAGTGTCTTTATTCAGCGATGTGATAATGTTGGTGATCTAGATCTACCATATTGTTCCATCTCTTCCTTCCTCTCTTCCAACTACTACTTGTGTTGCAGTCTCTCTTCTTATATGGTATCCTTGTCTTGGACATCCCAACTCTTATGTTTTATAGTTCTTGCACTCTCGTCATTTTTTACTAGTTCTATTAATAAGTTGCCCATGTGTCATGCTCGTTAGCTTAGGAAGCATTGTCGTTTACCTTTTTCGTCTTCTACAACCAAAACTACTCGTTTATTTGAATTGTTGCATTCTGATTTATGGACTTCTCTTGTTACTAGTATGAATGGATTTAAATATTGTGTCCTTTTCTTGGATGGCTTTTGTCATTTTTATGGTTTTTCCTCCATGTGAAAAATCTGATGTCTCTTCTTGTAACATCCCAAAAATACAAGCCAAAAATTTCATTTTTAAATACATCATTATAAAACCAACAGTGTAATAAAACA